ATTTAAGTAGTTCGAGGAATACACTCTCTCCTAAGGACTGATTGATTTTTTTTTTTTAATTTATCTAAACAGAGATGTCCTTGTGCACAGTTAAAAGGAAAATGCCTCCAGAAATTGGGTGTGGTGGTGCATACCTGTAATCCCAGCTATTTGGGGGTTTGAGGCAGGAGGATTCCAAGTTTGAAGCCAATGTGGGCCACTTAGTGAGACCCTGCTTCAAAGAGTTGGGGGAACTGGGGATGTAACTCAATGATAAGGCATTTCCCTAGCATCCTTGAGGTTTTGGGTTTAATCTCCCCTGCTATCAAGAAAAAATAATGCCTTCTAAAGAGAATATGATGTAAGAAACACCTAGTCTAAAATAAAATCATGCAATCTTACCTAAAGCCCAACAGGGTCTTATCTGTTCTAACCCCTTCTTTCAATACAAACACATCCTTACACTACCCTTAACAGGACATCTGACCTCGGCTTATCATATCCAGAGACACAGTTAACTATCTCCATGTTGAGTTAAAAGCTGCCTTCCCTGACTTTTAAGATTAAACAGAGTTTAGAGAAAAAAAGGTACAGCTTCTATACATATTAATGTGGATACTGTATTGAGTATTTACTGTGATAATTATAATATGGCACATTAAATTTTATGCCAATGAAATTCTGTTGCAGAACTTAGGATCATTTTCAGACTTCATATTTCATCCTTCACTGTATTTAAACTGCCTATAAAAGAGTAAAGAAATTTATCCTATTGTTGATCAAGAACAAAATAGATGACTAAAAATGACTTAATCCTGCCTTCATTTCTGATTAAATCTTAGGGGATTTGACTGGGTCCAGAACAGCATAGCTGAATATCAATTTAGGAGACAACTGTTAGTCAACAAGATAAGCAGTATTCTTCCTTATATAAGTTTGCTTTTTTAAATAATAGTTTATCATACATACAATATACATGCAGCTTAAGGAATTATATTTATGTGTCTTTAAGTATTATTTAGCAGTGATGATTTTTAAACTTTACATAAATGTAATTATACTTTTTTCCCTTGAAATTATCTTGACATTTGTATTGGTGTGTGAAGCAATATGGCATTCATTTTTACTGCTGTAGAGTATTCCTCCATCAAATCATACATATTTCAGAAAGCTTTAACTCTATTCACTCCTCTTTAGACTCATAATGTTTATGGCTGTATAGGATTTTTAGTTCTATCTTGATTTTAACTACACAAAGTAGTAGACTACACTGTTTTTAACTTACCAAGCCGGTATTTGCTTAAGTTCGCCTATAAATTTTCTTTGTTCACTGCGCTGAAATTATGATATATTACCCATGTTGTCCCACAGTAGCTGGGAGTGCTACTAGAGGTCAGCCCTGCGTTGGTCCTCTCTGTAAAAATACTACTTTATATAAGGTCACAGCTTCCAGGGGCATTTCACACCCAGTAAAGGTATAAAGCTGGACCCTCTTGCTCCAACTCAATACAATTATATCTGAAGGATCATACCAGCTCTACAGTTCCTGCACGATCAGTGAAATTTTCTCAGTTTTTATTGTAGCTGAATTTCTTTATTTTTGTGATAGCATTTCCTTTGCCCTCTTCTATAAGGGTTAAACATGCTACTTAATGAGCATGTTAATATCCATCTGAAAGTGTGCTTCCTGGGAAATTCAACCTGCAATAGTCACCATCCCTTCTTCCTTAGACTTCCTTTTGAGTTTACTTTCCTTTTTCATGAAATACATATTTCAGAGGTTCTTTTGGTGAATGTTTGTTTGGAGTTAATTTTTTTAGTTTTTCTTTACTTTAAAATGTCTCCCTTTCACTCTTAAAAGATAATTTTGGGTTGACAGTAATTTTTTATTCAGCACTATGAAAGTATTATGCCTTCTAGCCCCCCCCCCCAAAACTGTCCAGAGTCAGCTTTTGGTCCTTCTTTATAGGCAATCTGCCTTTCTCTCTGACTGTGAGATCATTTCTTTGTCATTGTATTGTTGCAGTTTCACTACAATATGTTTGAGTATCCGTCTCTGTTTCATTAACCTTACGTGGGATTTATTTGGTTTCCTAAATCTGGAGACCTAGCAATGCGAGAAAATTCTTAGCTATTATCTGTTTAAATCCTGCTGCCCTATTTTTCCATTATCTTATGGAACTTCAGATGTTTGCTGAATATATAGCCTCCATATCTCTTAATCTGTCTTTCATATTATCTCTGCTGTGCTATACTTTAGGTAATTTATTAAACTCTATCTTCCAGTTTCCTAATTTTTTCAGCTGTGTCTAAACAGCTGTTGAACATATTAATTTAAATCTTAATTATATTTTTCATTTTCATGAGTTTTTAAAAAAATCTCTGATCTGTTTTGAGTCTCTTGTTTTATCACTGTATTGCCAATTCCCTTTTTAAATGTCTTTAAATATCTTAGCCATATTTATTTTTTGTTCTTTTGTTGATTATTTTAGAAATCGGTACATGCAGTCTCTGCCTTCTGCTCACTTTTATTCATAATGTCTGGTTTATTTACATTTAGTGATTTCTGGTTGTAAACTCACATTTCTTAGAATTTAAAAATTCTTCAAAGCCAGTATTTAAAGCACTTTACTTCAGAGAAGATTTCTATTTGTTCCTCCTAGATTCCTAGGGTCAGCAAAACCAAAAGTACCATTAAATTTTTGAACTGAGGTTTTTTTGGCAGTATGATTCTAACTCCAAAACCACACAAGCCAAGGACTGGGATGAGGATTTCTCAGGAAAGATTATTTTTTGGCTACTCCAAAAAAAGTCAGGACAAGACGGACAGTGTCATTCTGAAGAGCCAGTGATTTTCTAAAAACCATTTATAGGAGGATTCATCCTTTCGGGATCCCAACTTTATGTATGTCACACTGCCCAAACTTATCACTCAAATGCTCAGAGTCAGACTTCTGTGCTATATTAGCAAAAGTACCTACTTGACCTCCATCTACTGGGCCAAGAGGGATCAGATGGTACCTTCAAAGGTAAAAAGGGTTCTAGGCCTCATTTATCTCTGTGGAACTAGACTTTCTCATTATTCACAGCATACATCCCCCTTTGCTGCCAATTTAGCTGTATTATTTATATATTTTTTCCATTATATTTTATTGGTACATTTTAGATATACATAATGATCACATTCATCATAGAGAATTTGTACCTATACATAACTTGGTTTTTTCCCCATTCCCCTACCCTCCTTCAACCCCTCCTCCCTTTCCATTTATAAAAGCTTCCTTTCCATTCTTTTCTCATTATATATTTTTTTAAAAAGGTTTTTGAATGCATTTTAACCTTTTCTTTACCAGGAAAAGTTTCTTTGAGCATTTACTCTGCTACACTGCTTGAGATACTGACTGTTCCAGACACAAGTCAGCTTTAGTTGCACACACAGAATGACAGTTATGCTTTAAAGGGAAAAATAACATATCTTTCTAGCTACAGTTCTCCAATCAATTCCACACTAAAATGTTTTTGTTGCTTAAAATTAAATATTATCTAGTCATTCATTAAATATATGAGTACATCCTAAATAAGCTGTAGGATGAGAATAAGCAAAAGTATCAGAATTCACATTTTAAAGTACACTATAAATTCAACATTAAAAATACGCAATGACTTTATAGAAGTAACCATAACTATTAAATTTCAAAAATTCAGAGGCAGCTTAAATGTAACATTTTGATGACTATCATGTAAAATGTATTAATAGTAGCAGCAAATCTTGTATTTAATATAGCAATCTTTCGGCATTTAAGTTGATCTATTTAACACGATTAGTAGTATGTAGCATATGCCTCTGAATATGAAACCTTGAGAATCACACATTACCATGGATGCAGTACAGTATTCTGGCCAGAAATACATATTCTGAATCTCATCATGGGGAAAAATTTCCTAAACCCCAAATAAACATTCTACTTTCAAAATGTCAGGGAGAGCTGTTTTATTAAAAAATGTTGATATCATAAAAGACAATCACATTTCTGGGAATATATCCAAACAAACCAAAGCAGTGTTTTTTGGTTTTTTTTAGCATAGCAAAAGTCAGTTTATTTAGGGGAAAAGGATGGAAAAGAAAGAAGATACACAGCTACCATGAGGTCATAGGGGGCTTGAGACCTGAAAGCCCCAAAAAGCAAGGCTTTAAAAAGATATTTGTATAACTGTGTTTACAGCAGTACTACTCACATAGCCCAATGGTAAAGCCAATCTAAATGTCCATTTGCAGATGAAGCGATAAACAAAAAATGTACTTTACTGTACAAATATAGTGGAATATTAGTCTCAAAGAGGAAGCAAATTCTGACACGTGCCACATTATCGGTGACCTTGAGAACATTATGCTAAGAAATAAGCCAAACACAAAGACAAACACCTTCTCATTCTACATATGAGGTATGTAATGTAGCCAAACGCGCAGAAACAGAAAACTGAAAAGTGGTTGTGGGGAGGAGTGAATGGACAATTCTAGCCTTTCAATTTTATCAGATGAAAAAGTTCTGGAGATTGGCTGCATAACAATGTGGTAAGGAAGTCAAACACACAAAACCAAAATACGATCCAGTGGGTCCAGTTCTGTAACAAATGTGTATTGAGTGCCATGGAAGCACAAGAAGAAAATGACTCTCCCTGATTGATAATAAATTAGAAACAATTTTCAAAGAGTTTAGGTAAGCATAGCAGAGTGAACATATACACCAACTTTTGCTTTCTTTTCGAGGCCCACTCAAATAATATAAAAACAACTTTTAAAGAAAGATATAAACGGGCAAAGAAATCAGGACAGGTGATAATAAAAGAGGGTTGAAAGTATAAGCCCAGGTCAGGCACTTAGCCCTCTCTAAAAATTAAACGTATTTTAAAAAAGGGTTGTGGGGGGTGTAGCTCCTTGCAAAGGCCCTGGCTCCCCTAGTATTGAAAAAAAAAAAATTATATGTACAAATACCTTTCTCCTCTTCATGCAGCCAAAACAGTGCTTCATCTGGGAAGATCTTAAGTTTTGTTTTGTTTTCCTCTGAAAAGGAAATTCTAGAGTATCTCTGAACTGGGGGACACTCGCCACAGTTAAGGATAGTGCACCAGAATGAAAGAAGGATGATTCATCTCAGGTAATCTATACTATACATCCAAGTGGAGCTGAGAGGATCTTTATTTAGGAAATATAAACAGCCTAAATTACCAAAGACACTAAAGATGACAAAATGAATGGATTGGGTAGATTGGCATTTTCCAGTTAAGTTTTTTAGTGCCGCACTCTTACATATATGTTGACAAGGCTCATCAGACACTGATGAAAGACAGAATCCAAAACAAACACTAAGAGGTTTAACAACAACATAAAATTTAGAAATATACAACTAGGGGAGGTAGAACATATAAACACCAAGGACCAGGATAGACCTTAGTGAATTTGACTGGAGCACAGTGAACGGATGTTGGCAGTAAGAGATGGGCTGAAAAGGTATTTGATAGCGGAAGTACAAAAGATTTCGTATATTCCACTCACATGGTTGTATTTCATATGATTAGAGTATGGGGAGCTACTGAAGGGAAAAAAGGGAAATGATATGACCATGTTTGCATTCTGATAAGTGCACTCAGATGGTCCTACAGTGGACACACTGAAAAAGGAAGAAATTATTGGCAGAATAACAACTTAAAAGGTTACAGAAGTAATTTAAACAAGAAGATACAAGCCTGAAATGAGACTAGAATACTGCATTACGTGAATATGGAAAGTACTCAGAAAATTCAATTTTGGACTTAGGAATCAGGTAGATATATGAAATGGAGGACAGGAAAGACTTAAAAAACCCTCCTTAACCACAAGTTTGAGCCCAGCATGGACAACTCAGCAAGACTTTATTTCAAAATAAAAAAGGCCTGGGGATACAGCTTAGTGCAAAGGAGTTGGGTTCAATCCTCAGTACACGTCCCTCAAATTTTCACTTGAGTGCCAGACGCAGTGGCACATGCCTGTAATCCCAGCACTTAGGAGACTGAGGTAGGAGGATTGCTGCAAGTTCAAGGCCGGCCTAGGGTACATAGTGAGTCTAAAGTCAGCCTGAACTACATAGCAAGACTTTATCTCAAAAAACCAAAACAAACAAAACTTTCACTTGGCAAGGAGATTACGGCACTAATGGAATTATGGAATACAATGATTCCCCCCCTATTTGCTGTTTCAATTAATCAAGGTTTACTACAAAATATTCCTATTTGTATTGACTCTTTCAAGGCTACACTAATTTTTTATGGTATACTGTTATTCTTGCTTTATGTTGTTGTTAATCTCTTCCTAGTCCTAATTTGCAAATTAAACTTTAGCATATGTATGTATATATAGGAACAAATAGTACACTATATGTAGGTTTTGGTACTATTTGAGGTTTCAGGCAGCCAACAGGGATGGGTGGGCATGACTATAATACAAAAAGAGCTAGAAGTCTGAGGCAAATAATGAATTTAGGACATGTCAAATATGAAGTGCTTACAAATGTAACTCTCCAGTAAATGCAGTGGAAACTGGATCTAGAGGTTAAGTGAACAGTCTACACTGGATCTAGAGACTTAAGATTTGGTTATCTATTAGGTCACCCATGTAGAGTGCAAAGAACAGAAATTTCAGTGTGTGTATGCATGCCTACACAAAAGGGATGACTGAGAGTCTGGGGAACTACTATTGTCTGCCCACTGAAGTTCCCCTTCAGATCCATCGTGGCAAACGTTTTAAAAGGATCACAGATTTAGGAGACTAAGTGTTGAACTAGAAAGCTAACCATCACTAACATTGAGGAGGCAAATAAGGGAAGAAAAATCCTCCATGACCAAAGATGAGAGATCAGGCAAATTGAGAAAAAAACAGGAGGAAGTTGTAATAAAAGAGTTGAACTGAGAACACGCAATAACCTAATATATATGTCTAATATTATTTGCCCTGAAGAAATATGAAGCACATAGGGCATGGTTCTGCTATCAGAGACTGCAATCTCACTATTGAATAAAGACTCACAGGAGATAATGATCACATAAAAAGAACACAACAGATGAGTCAACAGTATATACTGTGAAATTGGTGAGCTTATTTTATAACTATCATAGATTTTTATAGAGTACTCCAAACTAATTTTAAATGAGGTTTTTGTCTTCTCTTTTCTTTCAGTGTTGAGGATTTAACTGATGGCCTTGTACATGCCAGAAAAGTGCTGACTGACCTGTATCCCCAGCCAATAGGCACTATTTTAAAGAGTACGAAGTAATGCCAATCTTTTACAAATTATTTTAAAACTATAATACAGCACCTAACTGTTCATGTACACAGTTAATTCAATTCAATACAGTCTATGGAACTACTTAATTTCCAAGCAAATTTACAAAAAGTGCTAAATTTAAAATAATTAGGCTTACGGGCGGGGAGCGCCGG